TTGGCGGTGACGTTCTACGATTCTTCCACGGCGGCGACGAATGCCTCACGATACCGTCGACATGGAGCACGGCACCGAGTCAGAAGTAAATGTCAAAAGATTCGACCCTTTTCAACCCTCTCTAGACTCGCAAGACGATACGTGCCAAGACCAAAGTGATTACAATTAGACTACGTTACCAGTCCTACGGTCAACCCATTTCTTTAAACTTTCATTTCATTCGTCTGAGCCACGAAAAGTCCGGAACCCAGAAATTCGAGGATAATCGTTTCCATGGATAATTCGATTAGTACGCGGCTGAAGTTACGTACGGCTTCACATAGCGGTTAATATATCGTTTCACAGTATAGTGATCTACGAGGGAGGCAGCGTGATGAGCCAAGCCCGATCCCTATGGAGGCTGGAACTGGCGAGAACGAAATGGGCCGGTGGTTTCATCAATTGGTTACACCCGATGAGGATCAGACACTTGACAACCGGACGTTACCTTGGCGTGAAGGAAAACAACGAACTATATCTGGTCGATAGGTGAGTATTTATTATTGGAAAAGTTCAAGGGTCACGTCGAACGTCGCCACCGATAATCGCACGATTACGACGCTGCGTTCAAAGGAACGAGGCGACCATCGAGACCTCGACGTTTTGGCTGAGGCAAGAGAAGGATGACCAGAAGATCGTCCTCGAGGACAAGGACCTCGAAGTTATCGGTACACCGATCATCAAGTATGGCGACTCGACCGTCATCATGCAACACGCTACTACTTGCCTCTGGGTCTCGTACAAGGTATCGTATTCTTCCCCTGACTGAACGACGACATTGCGTTGTTTGACATTGGCTCTGACTGGTGTCGCAGTCGTACGAGACGAAGAAAAAAGGCGTGGGCAAAGTGGAGGAGAAGCAAGCCGTCCTTCACGAAGAGGGGAAGATGGACGACGGTTTGGACTTCTCTCGATCTCAAGAGGAGGAGTCGCGAACGGCCCGTGTGATCCGAAAGTGCAGCAGTCTGTTCACCCAGTTCATCACGTGAGTATCTATCGCGACTCGATCGACACCGGTGACTTCTCCTGCGGCATGAAAACACCGCAATTAAAAAAAAAAAAAAAAAAAAAAA